AGCTGATACTAAATTATTTTCCACGGCTCGTATCGTTGCTCTCGCACCGCGTTCTATTCGCGGATCATTTTATGTAATTCGGTAGCAAGTTGCGCTTTTGATATTTACGGCTCGCGGTGCGTACCGTAATGACACGCGATAAATCGCGCGCACTGTTATAAACGATACTGTTCATATTGCGTTGTCGATGGTATGAGTTCGCGGAACACTTTAACGCCGTGACGCAAGGGAATCGATTGCAGACAACACGAATAGCGAACAGGAGCAAATGTTAAATAAATTGACTATTTATTTGTCGATCTGGACGTCACCGCCACCATCGCATTGTCGTCATCGCAGACGTATATTCTAACTTATGTACGTATGCTCGCGATGTGTCCCCACAGGCTCGGACATTTATACTTCGTTAGACGTTCAAATAGTCGCGACAACCTAAGTACATTTATTCATGTAAAGTTTAATATGATAAATTCATAATTCGCACCTTCGTGACTCACTCGATCGGAACGCAATCCATCTCGATCCACAGGCTTCGTATGATAAACAAATTAAATATGTATTGTAATTTACTGTGGAACTTTATTTTTGAAAATCACCCCGTTTTAAGATTCAATTTTGAATTCTACTGTTATGAAATACTTCACATATACGTCATACGTTAAATATTTAAAAAATATATAATTACGTAATATACTCTCTTTGACAGTCTTTTTAAAAAAATCTGACATTCAAAATGAAATTGAGTGTTCTGGAATATCCTATATACATATGTAAACTTTTTCAGGTGCGCCACGGCTCTCTTTGGTTTTCGTCGAGAGAGCGTTAGGTCGTTAATGATTACCGGCCAGTTTTACGTTGGCCCGTAAGGCGCCGACATATGCGTCGCGTCTCTCTCTCTCTCTCTCTCTCTCTCGTGTGGCGTAGCGTGCAAGGTGCAAACCGTAAAAAGCCAACGACGTCGGCCGACGAACGACGGCAAGCAAAGTCGCGCGAGAGTTTAATTACCAGTGCACCTCTCTTTCTCTCTCTCTTTCTCTCGGCACTCGGAGAAGGTCTCGGGATCGCGAGACCGACTGACTAACGACTCGACGATCTTCGCGGCCGCGGAGATCCCTCGGTGGATAACGATAATTTCAGGAGCGTATTTTCAGACTGCCTCGTTTGGCTCTCCTCTCTTCGATCGTCGTCTCCCTTCCGTGAACGGCTCGACTCGGCAATGGGAACAGAGAAATAATATCGTCTCGCGGGAATGGGTTGGCTTTCGCGGCGGCGTGGCATTTAGATATATCTAGAGTCTGCACCTCGGGAAATGAAACGAGGGAGTATATGCGTCGAGCGTTTACGCACCGTAATGGGACGCGCGGGTTTTGCGGCGACGCGACGCGCGACGGCCAGGTGGAGATGCATGCCGTAGAATAAAATGCGAACGGCGCCGGGAAAACGCGACCGAATGAGAAGCCAGGATAATCGGATTATGCGCCCATCGAAACGAATTCGTCTTAATGTCGACAGAACAGCGTGGCATCGCGATACGTTTCGGTTGACTGAAAGATCGCAGAATATATGATGGAGAGTTTGTTGGACATTTTGGAATTATGACAAGTGAATAATGGAAGTCAATATGTCGTAAGAACCTTTTACAAGTAAAACATTTTCATAAAAACATCGTTAGAGGATCGATAAGGATAGTTTTTAATGTAATTGTGTTGACACTAGAAGAGTACCAACGTTTTTTATTCGCTGAAAGGAGCAAGTGAATAAATTATTATAAAAATTAAAAAAGTAATGAAAAATCTAATACTTCATCAATATAAAAAACATAATTATTGAAAAGTAAAAAATTTTAGAATCGTATGTTTTAGACGAAAAATATAATATTAATCTGAAAAATAGAAACTATTAATATATAATAACTGCTCGGTACTTCTAGTGTTAAAGATCAAACATGTATTAAAAATTTGATGTCTTATAAAGTCTATCAGTTTTCGAGGTAAACTTTAAAAAATCAGCCGCTAAATAATAATTTAGGCAATGAAGTAACTTTTACAAAAATGCTATATCTCCAGCGTATACTAAATCGTCATGCACGTAAAGACATAAAAAGAAATAATTGAACTAGAAATTACTAGGGATTATTAGCGTTTTAGACTGATTGTGTTGAAAGTCCGAAAAATTATCGTCGCGCAATTATATCTGAAATAAATTGATTTAATGAAGAATTAATATATTGTATTATTTGGAACATCTAACTTTGACGGTGTTCGCGTTCTCTATCGTATTTGATGAACTAGAAATCCTAGCAAAGAATTAATATGGCGCGAGAATAATATGCAGATAGATATTTTTTATTTGTATGCCATGTCTATGTATAATATAATTCATTAAAATGAAGAACACGGAATTAATGTCGTATTCAATAATGCATGATGCTGGATATTGCCGTAAACAAGTGAAGTCAGAGGAAACAGGACGTTATCATATCGGCAAATTGTCTCGAAGGCAGTGTGATTCAGCGAATTCTAGCCCGTCCCCTTATAGAGACGAGGACGATCGATTACACGCCAATCGGATCGATGGATCGCGCTAACTAGATCGTAAGAGTCGAGGATGACGATGATCTATACCTACCTGCCAAGTCCCGCCTCGCTATCGCAGACGCAAAAACCGCGTCTCAGGCTGACATCTTTTCGTGGAAGTTATTTAATGGAAGAGATTCTTGGCGACTCTCCGATACCCATTACGATTCTCTCTATAAAATGAAATCGCGAAGGTTACTTTCAAATGCTTACCTCCCGAATCTCTGGAAAAGTTGCATTGCGATTTAACGTCATTTTCTTTTAGAATTTGGTTGATATATAAAAATAAACTATCTGCACATTAGTTAGATTGAGTTATATGAAATTATAAATATTGTATAATGAGAAATTATAAATATTCGATATACATCGTCGAATGTTTTAAAGATCTTTTTTACTAGCTATTTATATATTTTTGACGCCGAATTGATTGCTATTTTTCGAACAAGAATCAGAATATGTATATGATGAGCCTACCTCGTTTTCGTCAAAAAGTACAAAATCAAAACCGCCGTCGAGCAATCTTGCTATACTTTATATGCGTCGCGTCGTAAATACACATCACAAGAAAAAAAGACAGAAAGAGTCATGGCGGCATCTTCGTCAGAGAAAAAGATGGGTCGACGAGGATCAAGGAAGACGTAGAGAAAGATAAACGATCGCGCGCGCGTACGCTTCGTTCGTCCCGTAAAATTTTAAATCAGTCTAGTTGGCCTGTCAGTCGTGCCGCGAATGGGTACACACTATATCTGCACGGTGCACAAATTGCCACGCATTTAATTACTGTCCAATATGCAGCGGGGGGCTATTAATCACCCTCTCGATAACCCGTAATTTTCCACCAACGATAAAATCTGTCGCGCGACGGACGCTCGAGTAGTGACTTCTTTGCATCTTTACAGAGACCGCATCAGAGAGAAATACACTGTAGGGAAGAGAAAGATGGAGAAAAAGAGTTAAACGGTAGACGGAGAAAGGAGCGGGGGAAGAGAGAAAGAGGCGGGGGAAAAAAGAAACAGAATGAGGAAAGTGGCGTGCTGCTGCAACCCGTTCTGCGAAAAAGTGTGTGCGTGGCGAACGAGTCCTCTGCTACTGGAAGGCTTGATATACGTTGTCAGTCTCCTAGACGAGCCACCGGCCGATGCTTCAGATAGGCCTAATGGTTAACGAACGCTCGTTCGTCGAGACAGATCGTCGACCTTCGATCTCGATTCCTCTAATTCTTTTTTGCGGGCCTCGCCCTCGCGGGAAGATACGCTCGGATGGTCGCAGCTTCACTACCTCGTAGCCTATATAGATACCAACCACCGGCTTCCCTTCGGTAGCCCGTCTGGTTTTTT